CACACACACACACACACACACACACTACCCAGCTTCCTCTTTCCTTCTTACAACTCCTTGTCAGGCTTTGAAACTTGATCTGCTAGTTGCCTGGTGACTGCAGCCTGGATTTGGGTGCACCCCCTCCTTTTATTCGGTCTCTCAATGAACTCTTTTTTTTTTTTTTTGCCTCTTCAATCTGAGGGCTTTAAACGACAGGAGGATGCAGGCAGGGGGGGCAAAACGCACACGATGCTCATTCCAGGGCCCGCCAGAGCAGTTTGAAAGTAAACACAGAGTGAGAAAAGTTCCCAGCAACCTGATGATCTTCTGTTTGGACCAATCAAGTCCTTTGAAACATTATAAATGAATGAATAAACATAAAATATATTATCTTCTTCGTTAAGGTTGAGGAGAAATTGTGTATATGGTCAAATGTGTTTCTATGTTACCTTGATAATTTTCTAACTTTTTATTGTAGTTTTTCTTCCAGACAGCTGTCTGAATTGGGCCTTAAAGCTATAAAAATCTTTTAACTCTATGTATGGCCTTAGGACAGGCCATGCTGAGAGTAAAGATAGACAACAATAGGTAACAATTAAACCCGCATTCCTGGCTGGGGCTGTTGCTGTGCTTAATAGTTAGGTTTAATGATTGACTGACCTGCTAAAAGACAGACAAGCGTTCAGTGGGTGGTGTTCGCTCAGAGTTTCAATAAAATGAATACCTTTGGTTTCAGGTCAGCATATTTCAAACAACTGGGCAGGGCTGGGAAAGGGGAAATGAGCAGGCAGATGATAACAGGTGTAGGGAAAGCGCCAGGCTTTTTCCTCTAATCTTGCACGGAGGGATCCTCCCACACGCAACCTTTTCTAATCAGACGTGGACTCGGTTTCCCACTGCAGATGAGAATAAAACTCTTTCTCATACGACTGATCCTCGTGCGGGTACACATCATGGGATGCTCAGAGATCAATGTGGCTAATTACACCCTAAAACACAGCCTCTGAAAACCCCACTGGGTCCTAGAAGCACGTGGGTGTGTACACATGTTGATTTTCAAAATCTGGTGAGCGCCCTGCCCCCCTGAGTCTACACAGGGGAATTCTGCTTTCACTGTCAAACACTTAACCCTTTCCTGTAGCCTCTCCCTCTTGTCCATCACTACAAAGAGACGACCCCCCCCCCACCCCCCGCCCTTTTCCTCGTGCTCTCAGGTTACCATAGCAATGGGACCGAGGAAACGCAAGGGCTGTAGGTTTGGATTTGAATTCAGCGGCTGCAGAAACACGACGCAGACGAACATGGGTGGAGGCGTGCAGGAGGGGTGGGTTTCTGCTGTCACAGATTTGAAAAATTACAAGTGGTGGAAAACATTGTTTTGAATTTGAAGAAAAAAAAGCATTCCAACTAAAAGCCCAGAGGGAAAATAAAGGAGAGTAGAAGAAATAACAAGATGAAGAAAAAGGGCACGGTTCTCTTCAACCTGTGGACACACAAAACACCCAAGCTGCGCAACAAATGTTGCTTTATTTAAATTTGAACGTTGGGTTCTGGGATTAAATTCTCAGATGGTGCTTGGCAGGTGTTCTGCCCCAAAACCAGGCCCATAGTTTGACAAGTTTAATGAAAAGAAACAAAATTCAGGGGGAAAAAAGAGAAATGGTCAGGAAATAGTCCACTCTGTGTTGGAAATCAAAGAGGAACTGAAGAAGAGGTTACAGAGAGGTTACTCAAATTATGTGCATTGATAATCCATGGACAACCAATGAGAGCTTGGCCTTTCTGACCCCTGTGATCCAGCAGACACATTCATCACCCCCCCGGTCCGACATCAGCACAATGTCCACGAGTCCTCTTCGAGAGACCAACGCCTTCCGACCCTGCTGAAACAATAGCTGCTGCTCCACCTCGTGTCCACCCTCCTCCTCCTCCTCATTAGTTTTTTCGTCCAGTGGCTATCACATGACAACTTCCATCCACCCTAAAATGAGTCCTTGTTTCTAACAGGTTGTGTTGAAGTGCAGCCAAGTGTAGAAAATAGAAACGCTAATCCACCGGTGCCGTTTGAACTCTTCATGTTAGTGAGGCAGGTTCTCACCCAGTGGGTGGCAGGTTAGGTACGACACAGTGGTGCCGCGGGTACGTCTCATCGCACAGATGTGATTTCCTTTTTGTTTTCAGGCAACGTGACTTTTTTCTGCAGGTGAAACCATTGTAATTCAAACTATGGTTCCATTTATTGTATTTGCAGATTGTATTTGGTGAGTTTTGTATCAGGGCTGCAAATTATACTGTATTAATAATTTATTATTACAATATCAGTGAGCGAAATGTCAGTTTTGCAAAGGACTTCTTCTGTAATTAATCATTAACCATTACATTTAAAGTACTACGTCTCTGTATTCTTCCTGCTAAAATAGATTTGATGAATCCAATGGTCTTTCACGAGTCTTGATGCCCCACTTGATGATAGATGAGAAAATGAGAAAATTGGGGATTTATCATAATTGATGTCATTGTTGCAAAATTGGACAATAATATCACGCATTGCAAGTTTTTCTTATAGTCTTAAGCCCTTTTTGTTTTGTTAAGCCGTTATACCTCTAGAACCTGCAGCTCTGGAGCCACATGCAACTCCTCAGACCCTTGTGACTGACCAAAAACAACATGAATAAGTAATACTTAGAGCTAAAACAATAAAAGGAAATTGTTTTTTTTTAATAGTTTTCCAGTTCAAGTATTTGCAATAACTTTTCTGCTGCAGAACGACACAAATAATTTATGTGGTTGGACAGTCAGTGTGAACTTTTTTATTACATTAGCAGACATATCAATATGTCTGCTAATGTAAACCTCCACAAAGGAGGTTACTGGCATGTTTTCTGTCGCGTATGTCTGTCTGTGGACAAAATTACTCAAAAACTTGCGGAAGGATTTTCACTAAATTTTTATCACAGGTGGGTATTGACCAAAGGAACAAACCTTTAAATTTTGGTGATGATCCAGATCACGATACCGATCCAGGAATTTTTTGAAGGATTCTTCACTATTGCAAGATAGAGGAAATTGGCCTTGGCGGAGGTTTCTCCGGAGGTTGTCTCTGAGTGCTTCTAGTTATAAATACCTTCTGTACACAACTACCAGAACTAACCGAATGTGATCCAAGTTTTTACTAAAATGTGTTTAAATGCAGTGATGAGTTTTATTGTTGTGCTAATGTTTTTTTTATTCCTACTTTGCTATTCTTCAAATCTGCCAGAAAATTTACCATTTCCATATAATTAATACCGATTGTTGTAAATACAGGAAACAGTTTGTGATCAATTGGGAAGTTTTAGATTTTAAGGTATTAACATTTGATGTACTAATATACAGCAAGTTATTACAAGAAAGAGAAAATTTGAAATATGAATTTGACTAATAAAAGCCTGGTACCTTAAGTATTTTAAAGATTCTGGCCCTTTAAAACATTTAAGTTATAAAAATGGATAATTTGATGAGTGAAATTCAACAAATGTAACTGGATGGTTTGATTATGTTTAGTGAAAAAGATGGTAAAAAAGTTTCTTTCAGTCATAAAAGTTGCTCTAAAGGGACTTGATGTTTTAAAAACATGTTACTCATCAATACAAAATGATGTAACGTGTTATCATTTTTATGTGTTACAGTAGCAGGGGCAACCATGGAAGAAGATGGCTTTTTCTGTTTGGAGAAGCATCAGCACTTCTTTTTTCTTTGTTCATCCGTATGTGCATAAGGGAGTTGAGCAGTGGTGCATTGTGGGATGTGTTTTGATTTGAATACAATCATAAGTCTGGGACTGGCCCCTGCCTCTGACAACTCCCCCTTCCTGCTCCCCCAAATTTCTCTCTTCAATCCTCCTGTCCCACTAATCAGTTTAACCCTCTTATGAATAGCTCTTTGTCATGAGATAGATTACAGTTAACTCTGTCCCTCTTGCTGCGTCCAGCTCCAATAACCTGCTGTAGTAGCAAACTCACAAAGCTCACGTGCTGAAATGTACTACAGTAACCTAACTTTAGTCCTGTGCATGATCGCAAAGCCTTAGTTTTAAGATTTTAAAACCATTAAAGTTCAAAATCCAGGGCTCACAATCTAAGATGTTACAAAGAACGAAAGTTGCAGGCATTCATCTTTTCTTGAGTCATTGTTGGATGCGTTTCATCTTGGTCAAGAAAACTTGCACAATAAAAAACACCCAGCAAATAATCTTTAAATAAATGCATACCACCCAGCACCTTTCATGCCTGTTAGCATTCAGAAAAGGTGTTGAGGATCAGCCTCAAGAAAGTGAACTAGTTTTAGGTGAACACGAAACAATTATTGTCTGTCAGGTTCATTTAAATGTATTCTCTGGTTCTGACAAAAACACACATGAATGTTTGTTCTTCTGTCCTCATGGGGACGTTGTATTGACTTCCAATCCTTTATTTCTTTTTCATAGCCTAACCCTGACCCCTTACCCTAAACCCACAGTACATACTCAACCCTAAACCTAACCTAAACTCAATTAGGGTTGGGCATAATCGTATCGTGTGCAATTAATCGTCAGAAAAACATGAATCGATTATTTTTTGGCACTTGACAATAAATATGATTAAAGCCAGCAGGCTTCAAATATGGCGAACATAAAAAAAGTTCTGTAATTTATTTATCAACACAATTTAAAATTTGAAGCGTGAAGTCTGTAATTTTGACACAATTTAGAATAGATTTATTTGAAGAGCATTGTATCGTTTGTCTCTATGTGTGGCCCTGTGATGGACTTGCGACCTGTCCAGGGTGTACCCCGCCCCTCGCACTGTGACTGCTGGATATGGGCACCAGTGACCCACGCAACCCTGAAAAGGAAGAAGCGTGTACAGAAAATGGATGGATGGATGGATGGATGTTTCCCACTAAACTGGTAATGTGACTAGGACATAAGGGTGTCCAGGGACTCCACGGGATTAATCGTCAAATTAATCGTTATCGGCTAAATACCACAATTAATCGGGATTAATTTTTTTGCCAATATTGCCCAACCCTAAACTCAATTCACACCATAGTCCTAAACCAAACCCCCAATCCAAAAACAGCCTTTGAACTCATGGGGAATAAGCTTTTGTCCCAATAAGAAACAGTGGGTCCTCAAAAGGTTGTATGTCCCGGGGAAATGTCAAAAATCGTCCCCACCAGGTAACAAAAATGTACACACACACACACAAACACAGGCAAGGTAAAAACGTTATTGCCCACCTTTGCCTTTTGGCTGTGGGCGAACAATTGTAACAGCAAGACTTACAAAATAAACTCGTATTTGCATATACTTAACTCCTCAAAGTTAAAAATCCATCTCAGTTTAGTTGAGGGGTCAGAAGAGTTCAGCCTGTGTGTGTGTTAGAGACTTGTGCATGTGTGTGACAAACGCACGCTCTGACCACCGGTTTTCAGAAGTCAGAAGGGTGTGATGGGCGCCTGCTGAGATTTGGGGCTGCGCCCATTGTCGTTCTAACCTCAGGTCCAGGTCCTCCGCTCGCAGTCTCTACTGATTGTCTTCAACACACAGGGGACATTTGATCAGGCCCTGCGACAGTAAAGCATCCTGACACTGCAGGACTCCAGCATATCGTCTTGACAATAAAACAGTGTCAGTCACAGTTTATCTGCCTGTTTCCTCTTTGTGCTGAGCTGACTAATGTTTAGCCCTCAAGGACATGCTGGGTGTGAAACAGAGAGTGTGAGAGAGTTTCATACCTTCCGGACTAACGTGAAGCACAAATGAGATCTGGACAGCCTGGTGTTTAATGGTTTCTGTGGAGGGCTGCCTGGATTTTAACCGTGACACTCCCTAAATATATAGTCCAATCTTGTTCACAAGTGATATTATATCAAAATGAGCTGGTTTAATGGACCGAAACAAGGATGCAAGATAATCACTTCCAGGATTCTTTGCATCTGGTGATAAAAATGCTAAAAGTGTCCGTGGCCTTGAGATTAAGCAGCAGACTGAGGACTGTCAGGGCTTGCCTTTTATTCTGTATTTTAATGTCTACTATTAGCCTACTATGTAAATCCAAGGGTAAATTTTACACAATTCAGAAAATACCCATTTAATTTTACAAATCTGCGTCTGCTACCTTATTTACCTTTAATATAGCACTGAGTGATTTGTACACACACATACACACACCCAGGAGCTGAACAACAATGTGTATTACTCATTTCCTCTGATCTTTTAAATATTTAATGATTCTTACTTTGTGAGCCACACAGCCTCCCCGCACATCTGCTCCTGTTCCTAGACAAGCCAAGACAGAGATCAGGAAATGCTTGCTGACACGACCATCTCATGGTCCGGTCTGCGGTCCCACATTATTTTTAATTTGAGGGCAGAATACATTAAACCCACAGCACTGACACGCTTCACATGTTGCCATCTGCCTCCAGTGGGAGGGGAGATATGAGGATCTGAGGCAGACAGGGGCAAAGCCTGCGCCAGACAAATGCAAAACAAAGGATAAATATGACAAACATTGAGACACCGCAGGGTTTCTTTTTACATTAGGCTTCATCTTTACTGTGGTAACTTTATTAGGGGTGCTTGTGTATGAGATAACCACTAAGCAGTGTGTTACTAACAAGTAGAAGGTTAAATGAATGCAGTTCATGCCTGTTTATAGCTTGGCCAGCCTTCCATGATTTTCATCAATTGTCAAAACGTGTAAAAAAAAAGGTCTGTGAGTCTGAAGCATTCATTCTCTGTTGCTCTGATGCAACAACGCTTTCAGAATGGCCCCCTGTACGTTGCATTGACCCAGTTGAGACAGTAAAGGGATTTTGGGTGTCCCAGTGGTTCTGTAGGCTTTAAAAAAACAACAACAGGAGCTCGTGATACCCCTCTTTGTCTTTTGGGTTCTGGTAGACAATAAAAGGATTATAGAGCTCCAGCAAGAAAACTCCCATTATTCCCAATGCTTCATCCATCCTCCTTCCAGCACAACAATCTCCTCTTACTGGGTCACCCCTCAGAATACTAATATAACACTGTCAACACACAACCAAGCCCCCACCTACACTTCCAATTCCCCAGCGCCCAGCGTTATTGGTACACCCCCCCCCAACCTCCCACCCTCGTATTCTCCTTTTCTTGGCTACCCCACCCCCATTTAACTGCCGCCACTAAAACATATTCATTCATGCCCTTCCCTTCTTCGCTGCTGTACTGAAGCACACCGAACACACAGACTGAACACCACCTGTAATTACAGGGATATTGCTTCAGATAGATTATCTATTTGGGGTAGGCTTGCATCTTCCCCTTCTTCTAGTTTTTCCTTTTATAAAAGCAAAACAAAACGAATTAGGTAATTGATGATCATAGATGGTCGCGTTAGCTCCAAGTTCAGCTCATTTTCTCCTCTGAGAAAAGCTTTTAAAAGCCCAGTTCGTGGTGTCTATTTAAAAAAATCTATTGAAGTGAGGCCTGACAGATGTTCTTCAAAGACACAGCTACCGAGTGACGAGTCTTTCATCAACGTTCTGAAAGGAATGCAGGAATACATCTGAATAACGCTTACCCTTATAGTTAGGATGAACACGAGGAGTGTAAACGCCAAACTTGATGAGGATGGGAACGTTGTAACCAAGACGCACCCATTCCACAACATGAAGTGGAAACAGGTTTGGGGTGGTGGCTTCTTTGGAAGTAGGTGTGAGACTGCAGCTCAGCTCTGCAGAGCCCCCCACTCTGGCCCGAACCAGTGACGCCAAACCCTGAGACACACCTGGAAAGAGGACAGTATATCATCAGGGCGCATCATGAGTAACTGCACATAAAACAGAGGACATAAAAAAAATACATGACCAGTTGATTAAAGATGAGTTCCTTTGGAAGTGGATAAACCCGCCTGGTTTAGAAACAGATTCACTCTTTTTTCTATGTAAATCTATTCTCTTTCAGCGCTTCTCTGAGTTTGCCATATTTGTTTACCTCCGCAGACTACAACCAGCCTAATATAGGTCAGTCACATGACTCAAGCTTCCTTTAGATTCAAATGAGTGCTTTGTTTACACTGAGTTTACCTGCATTTCAGAAATGTATATCAATATAGTATCTGAAAAAAACCACTGGAGTAAACTCTTTTAAACTGTACCGTGTGACAAGGACAAGCTTTTATATGTTTGATTTTGTTTGATCTGACTAGCTTTAATAAGAAAACTTATCAGAGAGGCAACAAGAGGCTAAATCTGATCCTGATTGAAAGTGATTTGTTAATCACTGACTTTGATTTTCCCAGACTGCTAAAAGCCAGGCCATTCCAGGGTATGAACAACAATCATGTGGTATTTGGTAACAAGATTGTTCAGGTGCAATCCCATTAGTGACACCTGGAGCAGGAAGCCACCTCTCTCTCTCTCTCTCCCTCTGTCATGTGCTCACATGGGTGTGTGCTCAACTGGGTGCCAGTGTTTGCTCCACTACTCATCTGACCTGGTGATTGCTTTAATCTCAGGGAAGGGGTGGGGTGAGGGGACACTCTGATGTAGCAGGACCCTCCATGTGCTCCAGCCAACCTCTCACCCCCCCTCCTGTGGTGTGCACATGGTCTGTGGACCAGCACGATCAATCCCACCACCACCGCCCAACAAACACACACACACACACACACACAGAAGCGTGCCTGGGGTAGGGGGTAGCATAAATCCAGGATTGATCTTAATCCACACCCAGAGATATTGTTTAAGTTGGATTTTGGCCCCATTCTCCCCTGACCACACATGTCTGAGCTGTAACCCCCTCCTCTTCACACTCTCTCTGACATGAAACAGTGGGAGATGTGCCAGATGAATGATGGTGTGTGTGTCCTGTCTGCACGCAGCTAAACAACTACATCAACCAGCTGCTCCTCAAAGCTTCACTAAATGCAAGGCTTGTTGGTGAAAGCATACCAAGAACTTCTCGAGTTCAAAAATGATTTGGTTAGCACACAGACTTAATGTATTTTATATGCTGGACAAGAATAAAAAAAAGTTCTTTATTTGATGTATGACTTCACATTTCTTCTTAAAAGGAACCAAAATGTTTTTCTGACACGACAAAACCAAATACACGATATGTGCAAAGGTTTTATTAGTTATTTGTCAGAAGAAAACATATCTGTTTAAGGGTGAACACACTGAACATTTAAACTTTGAACATAGATCACACATTAAAGTGCCTGTGGCATGCCTATCCTTCAAATACAAAAAGTCAAAGAATATAATCTTTATATTTAGGAAAAAAAGAATAAATCACATGATTTAACCCATTTTGTCCCATAACTGGCATCTTTTACTTTGAATTTGGCTCAGCTAAAGTGAAATAGGAAGTGACATCGAAGAGGAACTCTTTAACAAAGAAAACTCTATTGTCGTTGTTTAATAAAACAATATTATTTGAACTCTGACTCTTCTTCATCTCTCTCTGATAGGAATTAAAATTATCTGAAGAAACATCAGAAAATTTCCTTCTGTCTGTGTTGCTAGCTGTTGTAACAATGCTCTGTTTACAGTCAGACATTCCCTTTTGACATCACTTCCTGTTACTTCACATGCAAATATCTCAACAACGGTTCTTCTCAGTGGTGTGAAATTGCTTTTGCAATATGTTATCCATGTTACCTTTCCAAAAGTGCAATCACATTTATCACAAAAAAATGATGTCACAGGTACTTTAAACTAAAGGGAAAATCATTTTTAAAATGACTTAGAACTGGCTTATCAACCCACGAGTCTCTGAGTTCCTTCTTATTGTGGAATTAAAGAATTCCTTTTCTTTATGACCTCTAACTAAAGTCATCTTTTAGTAACTGCTCTGTGCAAACATCCATTTTGTTATGACAGAGTCCTTAGTGTTGTTTAATAAGGGGTTTACATTCTGAGGTTTAAATCTTTGATATCTAATCAGTAGAGTTTAAGTATTTATGCTTGTTCAAAGACTAGTAAAAATAACAATTCATGCAACAATGAAAACTGTTAATTTGATTGTTAAATCTTTTAAAATGTGAAAAATATGTGTACAACCCCATTTCCAATGAAGTTGCAAATCCAATTCAACCTACTGTACATTCAATTGAATACACTACAAAGACAAGATATTTAATGTTCACAAACGGATACATTTTGTTGGTTTTTTACAAAATTCACTCATTTTGAATATGATGTCTGAAACACGTTCCAAACATGCTGGAACAACATGTTTACCTCTGTGTTACATCCTTTTTCCTTTTGACAACACTCAATAAGCTTCGTGAACTGAGGATATTAATTGTTGAAGCTTTGCAGCTGGAATTCTTTCCCATTCTTGCTTGATGAACAACTTCAGTTGCTCAATGGTCTGGGGTCTCTGTTGTTGCATTTTGCACTTCATAATGTGCCACACATTTACAATGAGAGTCAGGTCTGAAATGCAGGCAGGTCAGTCTAGTACCTGCACTCTTTTACTACGAAGCCACGCTGTTGCAACATGTGCAGAATGTGGTTTGGCATTGTCTTGCTGAAATAAGCAGAGACATCTCTGAAAAAGACGTAGCTTGAATGGCAGCACATGTTGCTTTGACACCTGTATGAACCTTTCAGCATTAATGGAGCCGTCGCAGATGTGCAGGTTACCCATGCCATGAGCACTAACTCACACCCACAGCATCAGAGAGGCTGGCTGGCATTTCTTCACTCTGCTGTTGTCTTTAGTCTCTCTTCTCTCATGTTTATTGATATTATTTGTATCATGTTTTTTCTTTGTCTCTTCCAGAAGAAGGTGCACCTGGACCAGTCCCGGACCAGTTCTCCTGTGTTTGTCTGTGTCTCTTTCCTGTCCCTCAACCAGCCGGTCGAGGCAGATGTCCACCTGTCCTGAGCCTGGTTCTGCTGGTGTAATGAGTGGGGGATTGAGTTTCACTGAGCCAAACACCAAAGCAGTTTTAACAAGTTTATTGAAATTGTGAATACTGGATCTGGAGTAACAGGTCACGGGAATCAGGAGTTCTGAACACAGGAGAATAAGGTTAGTGGCTGGACTTGACAGTGGGACAAAACGTGAGGAGAAAAAAGCCACTAACCTTTTGCTGAAGCGTGTGGTGGGGACCGAACTCCTGAATGACACGGAGAGCCTAGGATGAAGGTTCGCTGAACTTCCGTGTTTGGTGGCGTGACGTCGGGGATAATCCTTAGAACGAGCGGTGGTCATTAACGGGRAGGCTGAGAACAAAAACAAGTTAGAGGGGCAAGGACTGAGGCGTGGTCGGAGTACACGGACGCGGGTCGGATCCAGAAGGTCAGAGGCAGCGACGATGTCCGACGAGGATGAGGCGAAAGGCGAAGATCCAGGAGTCAGAGCGTGGGTCAGGACCAGGAAGTCAGAGGCAGCGACGGTGTCAGATGGGGGTGAGGCAGGAGGCTTGGATCCGAGAAACAGGAGGGTCGTGACGAGGCAAGCAAGACGTGACATGGAAACGCTGGATAATTACTAGGGGTGAACCGTTCATAAATCTGGCACTGATGCTGTGGAGAAGTGGAGCTTAAATACTGGTGGCAGCAGGTGAGTGGAATGAGCTTGATTGTGTTTTCTGTGACGGGAGGGGGGAAGCAATGAGTGAAAAAACTTGGCTGTGAGAAACTATGACGTGAAGTGAAAGCAGGACAGACGTGATTCATGACAATT